ATGGCATAGCAGTGGGTGGGTGAGTGGGGCAGTGCGATATCACGCACTGGGCCTCTAGTTATAAATAATGCTGCAACACATAGGGATGCAAATATCTTTTTAAATTAGTGTCTTTGTATTCTTAGGATCAATACCTAGAAGTGGGAGAGCCGGTTGTATGGTAACTCTACTCTTATTTTTTTTTTAATTTTATTGATTTTTTTACAGAGAGGAAGGGAGAGGGATAGAGAGTTAGAAACATCGATGAGAGAGACATCAATCAGCTGCCTCCCGCACACCCCTTACTGGGGATGTGCCCGCAACCAAGGTACATGCCCTTGACCGGAATCAAACCTGGGACCCTTCAGTCCACAGTCTGACACTCTATCCACTGAGCCAAACCAGTTAGGGCTACTCTTAAGTTTTTGATGAATCTCCATAATGTTTTCCACAGTGGTGACAACAGTTTATATTCCCACCAATGGTGTATGTGGGTCCCTTTTCTCCACATCCTCACTAGCACTTATCTCTTGTCTTTTTGATAATAGTCTTTCTGACTAGTGTTAGGTGATATCTCATTGTGATTTTGATTTGCATTTTCCTGATAATTAGAGTTGTTGAGCATCTTGTCGTATGCCTATTGGTCATCTGTACGTGTTCTTTGAAAAAATATTTATTCAGGTCCTCTGCCCATTTTTTAATTGGGTTGTTTGTTATTATGTTGTTGAGTTGTGTGAGTTCTTTATATACTTTGGTTATTAACACCTTATCAGATGTATGATTTGCAAAAATCTTTTCTCACTCAGTAGGCTGACTTTTTGTTTTGTTGATGGTTTCCTATGCTGTGCAGAAGCTTTTTTAAGTTTGCTGAGGTCTCTCTCATTTGTTTATGCTTGCTTTTGTTTCCCTTGCCTGTGGAGTCATATATAAAAAAAACACCCCTTAGATCGGTGTCAAGGAGCTTACTGACTATGTTTTATTCTGGAAATTTTTATGGTTTCAGGTCTTACATTTAAGTCTTTAATCCATTTGGAGTAAATTTGTGTGTGTGGCCTAAGATAATGGTTTAGTTTCATTCTTTGCATGTGGCTGTCCAGTTTTCCCAGCACCACTTATTGAAGAGACTGTCTTTTCCCATTGTATCATCATAAGGCATTTTAAGTAGCTTAAAATCAAAGTACCTTAGAATATTGAAACAAGAAGGAATCTTAGAGATTGTCTAGTTCCCCAAATTTGGCAAGATATTTTTAGGCATTTATAAATAAGGGAGGAGGCGTCCCATGGTTATGTAAACTTGGTAAATAAAGGATGTAGCAGATGCTGCTGGTGCCCCACTTCAGCACAGAGATGGATTCCTGGCAGCCTGTGTCTATAATCTCTTTGGCAAAGGCCCTTCCTGAAGCCACGGAGGGCCGGTCTGTCCTTACATAACAAACCAGGGGTGCCAGGGGCCAGACACCCACCCTGAGGAGTCCTTAAACTATGACTGGTGAGAGTGGATGTATAATACATATCCCAGCAATCTCGCCCCTCATTTGGGATAACTGAGGCCTGTGCTCCACACTGGCTCCTGCAATTTCCCCAGTGGATCCAGTGGATTAAGCTTAAGCTGTGTGCCCAGGGGCAGCTGGTTTAATAATGCACCCTTCCAAGCTGCCTTCCCTTCCCTGTCTTGCTTCCCAATTTCCTTACCATGTTTCCTTCACTTCCCACATCAACTACCTGTCTTCAGATACTTGTCTCAGCATCTGCTTGGAGAGCCCCAAATAAGACAACTGGGTAAAGAACAATGAACATATTTCTTTACTCCAGAACTTTCCAGAGACTTTAACATGTGAATGTGCTTTGCGACTTTCCAAGAAGGAGATACACTCTACAGCATTTCCCAAATATTTGACTACAAAACTGTATCATCCTTCTCTCCCCAGATATCTCTTGAGACCAATATTCCAAGCAAAGTAGTTTGGGAGACAGTCTCTTTAATTTACTGATGAGAATGTTGTCAATCTCCACATTTTACTGGCAAGAGGACTAATCCCAGGAAAGTCAAGGGTTTGTCTGAAGTTTCACAGCTAGCCCTGGCAGAACTCTACCTCAGAATCTCGGCTTCCTCTTCTCTCTTCACTGCTCAATTTCTCACATTCTAGATCAGCGCAGCATCAGAGTTCTGAGGCTGGAGTTAGGTCTCAGGAGCTCCATCTGGTTTCAGTCACCAGCCAACTGTGCCTCTCTGCTTAGTCACTTAGAGGAATCCTCTCTTACCTTCTTCATGAAACCAGATAGTTAAGTTAGATGACTCTTTTATTGTGGTAAAGTATATACAACATAACTTTACCATGTTAACTACTTTTCGTTGTAAGTTCAATGGCATTAAGTACATTCACATTGTTGTGAAACCATTATCACCCAACTCCAGCACCTTTTCATCTTCCCAAACTGAAACTCTGTAGCCATTAAACACTAACTCCCCATCCCCCTTCCCCTCTATCCCCTGGCAACCATCCTTCTATTTTCTGTTTCTATGAATTTGACTACTCTAGGTACTTCATATAAATGGGAGCATACAGTTTTTGTGACTGGCTTATTGGACTTAGCATAATTTTCTCAAGGTCCATCCATGTTGTAGCATATTGCGGACTTTCCTCCCTTTCTAAGGCTGGATAATATTCTATTGAATGTGTATATCATATTTTGCTTATCCATTTATCCATCAATGGACACTTGGGTTGCTTCCACATTTTTGCTATTGTGAATACTGCTGCTATGAACATGAGTGTACAATATCTGTTTATGTTTTTGCTTTCAATTCTTTTGGGTATATGCCAGGAAGTGGAATTGCTGGATCATATGGTAGTTCTATTTTTAATTTTTTGAGGAACTGCCATAATTTTTCCCACAGAAGTTGTACCATTTTACATTTCTACCAACAGTGTGCAAGGGTTCCAATTTCTTCACATCCACACCAATACTTGTTTTCTGTTTCTGTTTTTGTTTTTTTAAACAGTAGATATCCTAATGAGTGTGAGGTGGTATCTCATGGTAGCTTTGATTTGCATTTTTATAATGATTAGTGATGTTGAAGATATTTTCATGTGCTTATTGACCATCCACATATATATATTTTTTGGAGAAATTCAAGTTCTTTGCCCATTTTTGAATTGTAGTGTTTGTCTTTGTTGTTGAGTTTTAGTTAGTACATATTCTGAATATGAATTTCTTATCAGATATATAAGTTGCGTGGTATCTCATGGTAGCTTTGATTTGCATTTTTATAATGATTAGTGATGCTGAAGATATTTTCATGTGCTTATTGGCCATTCATATATATATTTTTTTGGAGAAATTCAAGTTCTTTGTCCATTTTTGAATTGCAGTGTTTGTCTTTGTTGTTGAGTTTTAGTTCAGTGCATATTCTGGATATGAATTCTTATCAGATATATAAGTTGAAAATATTTTTCTCCCATTATGTGGGTTGCATTTACATGCAAAAATTTTTAGCATTTTCATGAAGTCCAACTTGTATTATTTTTTTTTGGGGGGGGTGTTACCTGTGTTTTGGTATCATATCCAAGAAATTATTGCCAAACCCAATGTCATGAAGTTTTTGCCTTATGTTTTCTTTAAAGAGTTATAGTTTTAGATTTAGGTCTTTGGTCCATTTTGAGTTAATTTTTGTACATGATATTAGGTAAGGTTCAACTTTTGCGTGTGGATATCCAGTTTTCCTATAATTTGTTGAAACTACTATCTTTTCCCTATTGAGTGGTCTTGGCACCCTTGTCAAAAAGTATTTGACTACACATGCAAGGGTTTATTTCTGGGCATTCTATTCTATTCTATTCTATTCTATTCTATTGGTCCATATGTTGGTCTTTATGTCAGCACCAGATTATTTTGATTACTATAATTTTGTAGATAGTTTTGAAACCAGAAAGTGTG